ATCGACGAATACAGCGCTATCGAAAGTGAAAAAGAAATTCTGTTCTCAATGCACACTGTTTTTCGTGTCGATGATATCAAACAGGCAGTCAGCAGCAATCGTCTATGGGAAGTTCAATTAAGTCTCACAGGCGACAATGATCCACAACTGGCTACTCTTACTGAACGCATACAAGGGGAACTCTGTGGATCCACAGGATGGCACCGTTTGGGTCATCTAATGTTCAAAGTGGGTCACTACAATCAAGCCGAAGACCTTTACAACGAATTACTGAAGAACTCGTCCAGCGACAGTGATAGAGCAGATATCTATCATCAGCTTGGAGGGTTGAAAGACGATCAAGGACAATACAAAGAAGCAGTTTCATTTTATGAAAAATCACTTGAAATCAAGCGAAAAACTCTTCCCGAAGATCATTCTTCATTAGCGGGCACATACAACGACATCGGTCTTGCGTATAACAACATGGCCAACTACTCGAAAGCACTTGAATTTTACGAAAAAGCACTTAAAATCTACGAAAAATCTCTGCCTCCGAATCATCCCAATTTGGCTACTTCCTACAACAACATCGGTCTTGCATATGACAACATGGGTAACTACTCGAAAGCACTTGAATTTTACGAAAAAGCACGTAAAATCTACGAAAAATCTCTGCCTCCGAATCATCCCGATTTGGCTACTTCCTATAACAACATCGGCCTTGCATATCGGAAGATGGGTAACCACTCGAAAGCACTTGAATTTTACGAAAAATCACTTAAAATACTCGAAAAATCTCTGCCCCCGAATCATCCCTTATTGGCTACTTCCTACAACAACATCGGTCTTGCGTATGACAGCATGGGTAACTACTCGAAAGCACTTGAATTTTACGACAAAGCACTTAAAATAAAAGAAAAATCTCTGCCTCCGAATCATCCCGGTTTGGCTACTTCCTACAACAACATCGGTTCGGTGTATGACAACATGGGTAACTACTCGAAAGCACTTGAATTTTACGAAAAATCACATAAAATACTCGAAAAATCTCTGCCTCCGAATCATCCCTCATTGGCTACTTCCTACAACAACATTGGCATGGCTTATTCAGGAAAAGGTGACTACCCAAAAGCACTTTCATATCTAGAAAAGGCACTTGCCATCTGGCAAAAATCACTTCCACCAACACATCCTAATATTAAAACGGCGATGAATAATATTGACAGTGTGAAAAAGAAAATGTAACTGTGTTGTTTTTTCTTCTCGCTTGCTCAATAAATTGATTTTGATTGCTATTCACCTCACTTCCTGGATTTTCTCAGCTCATTTTCGCGTACGCGCGCGCGCGACCAGGGAGACCTCCTGTAGGCCCGAAATGGGTACACGCAGAGCGGACCACGCCGGTCTGGTAGAACATGATCATAGGTGTGACGTACGTAAACGGCGACAGGGACCTACGAACAGACGGTCTTCCCGAGTACTCCACTGCTTTCGCCAACATAGGCACAAGAGATCTCCCTGGGTCAGATTACGAACCCATCTGACGGGCTGTGATATAAGTTAATACCTCACTCTACTACTAC